ATACTCAGCCAAATTGACCATATGGTGGTGAAGAAAGCCATGCGCCACACTTTATTATCCTCGTCACTCATATTGTTGGTACACTCTATTCGAAAAAAGTTGATAGGTTTTATCAAATTGACCCATACTATTCCTCATTCGTTTCACCATTGGACCCAAATTTTTCAAGATTCCTTACATGTGAAAAATAAATGGCTCATCATTTCGATTTCTATGTTACAAATGGTGTAGGTAGTCGCACTCTCTTTGAGAAGACCTTTCTTTAGTAGTTCAGATTTCACCACTGTTTTCCTTTGCAACAATTTACAAACAAAGACTTTCATTGTATATGAAATGAACCATACCCACACTAGTTTTCAGAATGACGCTCTAACTCCATAATTGTTCATAGGGATGGTAATGGCTGCCCGTGAGTATTTAACCCATATATGGTTTGAGTACATTATATTCAGATTTGGGATTGGTTCGAGTAGAAATTTTACTACCTATAAAATTTCATCATTGTTTTCCTTTGCAACAATTTCCAAACAAAGACTTTCACTTTATATAGAGCAAAACCTATCCAAACCAATTTCCAAAACGATGCCCTAACTCCACATTTGTCCATAAAGATGGTTATGGGTGCCTGTGAGTATCCAACTTGTATAGGGTTTGGGTATACTACATTCAGATTTGAGATGAGTTCAAGTAGAAATTTTACTACTTATCTTGGGTTCGGGCAAGGCATATGTATCACGCTTTGGATATTTAACATTTTAATTTGTTTATATATAAATATATAAAAAATATATTATATGCTTTTATAAGCTTTGATTGAAGCCGAGTAATGCTCTTGGACAACCAAGAGCCTTACCAATTTATCCAAATCTATATTTTGGTATTATATGAAAAAGAATTATATTTATTTTTTCTTACTTAATTAAAGTTATATATTGTTTTGTTTTTGTCTCTAACCCTAACATATTCTTATCCTTTCTTTTTTCTACTGCCTATCTTTTCTCCTCCTTCCATCTTTTCTTTCCGTCCTCAATCACTTCTCCTTCCCTTTTTTCTTTCCATCCTCGATCAATTCTTTTTTTTTTCTTTCCATCTTGGATCACTTTTAACGGTGAGACCGTCGATCCATTCATCCGACTAGAAACATACTCTTTTACCATTTCCCACAGAGAACCCAACATTTGATTTGAGAATCTGAGTGAATTTGTTTCCCTCTAAGGGCCTTAATGATATTTTTTTCAAATGGTAGAGCATCTTTTTTGATTTTGCACTAAACGATTAGGTTTGGCGACAATTATTAGTTGTAAATGTTGTTTTTGTATTTATTTAAATGCGTGTTTTTCTATTTTTTATTTTTAGAAACAAAAGTAAATAATTTAAATACAATCTAGTTTTTTTTTGAAAAGCAAATGTTACATATATATTATATGTAGGCCATAATTTTGATTTTTGCATATATTTCTAATGAAATTTGGTATTTATTTCATGATATGTAACTATTCTTTACCTTACTCAGCGAATATTTTGAATCCGTCCTAGATCATTGTTTTGGTCTTGACTCGGGTGTTTGGGAGATTTCAAGTCTATTTTCATTGTTCTTGTTCTTTGGTTATGTTAAATTATCGTAGAGTATTTGGGATTAGTAATATTGCCTGACCTATATATCAATTTAATTTCTATGTATGATTTTTGGTTTTAGTTATTAGATAAATTTAATGGTAGGATCTATCTATTTAAGTAAGAAAATATGGCATTTATATCAAGTAGATAAATGCTTAAACTATTGACTTAAACACTCAAATGCAAGAAAAATGATATATTTATAACAATTATTAATGAAACATTTAGGATTTGAAAATTTGAAAACAAATTAAAAATTAAATGGGATAACATATATGTATTATTTCTTCTCTCATTTCATCCAAAAACTTATATTCTGCGCAATGTCAACGTATAATTATTAAAATAAATGAAAATTTATGCACGCTCAAACCTAAAACTTTTTATTATTAAAATACACCAAGTAAGGAATTAAACCAACATTGATGAAAAGATAGCACTAGCCTAAACGTGGACGTAAGCTCAAGAACAGGGAAACAGTGGGATTATTTTCACGTAGGATCCTTTGGCCATATCTGATTTTACAACAGAAACAAGTCATTGTCAAACAAGGCAGAAGAGTATGGTGGTGGGGCCATGGTGGTCCATGTCAGCTCACAGTGGAGCTTTTGTCTCCATCGGGTCCTGAGGCAGAGGTCACAATGCATGAAGATGTATGCATGCCCATGACATGGGAATATGCACCATCATACATAACATGCATGGCGAAGATGGATGATGCTTAAAGGTTTTTTGGGTGGTGGGTGTCCTACCAAATTGAAGCTATAAAAATCAATGGTCGCTCTCAATGGGTTCACATCCCCCATAATAATGTTCACGTACTTTGAAGCCCTTTTCTTTCTTCTTTCTTTTACTCCTTTAAAGTCAATTAACTCTGTACTCGCTTCATTCTCGCGGACACTTGTTTCGTGCTATCCACGATACCGATCCCTGCCTTAGGCCATTTAGGGTTCTTTTATTATTATTATTATTATTTATTTCAAGAATTTGAGAGTGACGCGTGAAAGGCACGAGGTTGAAAATTTCTCTTCTTTTTAATTAATCCACATGGGACTTGGCTTTTGCTTATGGGTTGCGAATTGGGATTGCCAGAGGGCATCGAAAGTGACTTGTGGATTTTAACACGTAAGTTTTACTAATTAATAACTAATCCATGTTCAGTTTTGGTAAGCTACAGATTAATTTCCAAACTGATGATAAAATCATTGACTACTTTTCTTTAACGATATATATATATATATATATATATATTGTCTGGGCATAGATAAATTGCCCTGAATGAAAATGTTTATGCGCCAATTTAAAAGAAGTGGCTAGCAAGCTAGAGTGGAGTTGAAGACTCTAATTTTAGCTTAGTTGATGATCGTAAATTAAGAAACCTATAGAATTGTTGGATTGGCTACAAAATGCCTTATGCATCAAATGGCTGTGAACTGGGAACTTTATGGTTTTGATCAGTTTTCAACAAATTTAAGCCTTTCTTAAGTTTTGGGGTGTGCTCTTATGGAAAAACTTTCATCTCTTATCTATGAGTTATGAGATTTAAATGCTTTTTAGATCTCAAAGTTTCAATCATTTTGCAGAAGAATTTCATTTATACTAGCTTTACAGTGGCTTTATTACCTAGTTAAACATCCAATGAAATAACATGACAAAGGCCTCTATATATATATATATATATATTATATTATATGTGTGCAATTATTTTGATGCGAAAGGGACAGAAAGAACTGATGGTTTTGAACAATGAAGTCCATTTATAAGTATCTTTTAAGTCAATTCTTTGCTTTGCATGAGAGCTGTTGAGTGAATGCTCTTTCTTGATACTAAAATATATTGTATAGTTTGGAATTGGATGGGAAGCACTACACTTTTTCTCTATGTTCTCCCTTTTTGTCTCCCAAGAAGCCAGTGTTTCGTATTAAACTCGTCAACTCCAGCAGAAGTGCAAGTTTTAAAAAGCATATATGTACGGCTTCATATTAAGAATTTTATTAAGAGTCATTTATTGGTTCCTTGGCTTTCTCTAGATCTCTAACATATATATCCTGTGGGTTTTCCAAAATTAGTTGGTATATATATGTATCTTACTAAAGAGGAGGAAGACACTCAGGTTTTAACCATATGGTAAGCTTTGCGTACCTAGTCATCATATACCTACTTATAAGATATGAAACTTTTAATTAAGTCATTATATATATATATATATATATATATTATAACCTTAGTTCTTCTGTACGTTTGATTTTCATTTGTTCACCCCCATAGCTAATGTGAAATAACTTGTAAAGACTGATTTTCATTAATTAATTAATTAATTCTTTTTAGATTTTAGAAGGATTGAAATTTAAGGTTCAAATCTCTAGTTTCCTTTATATTTATTAATTTATACGTAAAAAAGAAGAGAACGCTCATCGATGGTGAATTATTAGAAATGTTTCCTTTTTAACTTGCTAGCTGTATTGATGGTGGCATCATGCATGCCCATTATTCTATCTCTCACTCATCCTTTTTCTTTCCTAGGAAACCCATAGATGTAGATGGGGTACCAGTATATAAGATGAGTGTGGGTGGGTTTTTAATGATCCTATATATAGCTATCTAAGGCAAAGCCCTAAGATATTTCACTCACGAAAACTAGACCTGATCGATGATCAGAGAGATGACAAATTCATGTAAAGCTTTTTTTTTTTTTTCCAAGTCCAATTTAAGATGATATCATGCATGGTTACTATGTCTATCATCATGAACTCCATGCGGGTTAGTCCAAGTCTCTGCTATATGCATGGACCACTTGGTCGTAAGTAACCGAATTTGCTCCTCCACTACACAAACTCTTCAATGTTCCCATGATCCCCATCTTGAGAAAGCCACGAAGGTATATATATGCACCAACCAAAAACATTGCACACAGGCAATATCATGTTAAATGAGAGAGAGAGGACAGTTTGGCTACTGTGAATGGGAACATGAATAACACATTGGATGGAGATGTTGAAAAAGATGGTGTCAGGTTCTGATTCGTTAGCAAGAACCTAACCACCCGGAAATTTAATATAATAAAAAACAACACCCACTTCCTCTTCCGACCATTCATCGTTCATTCACATAGATGAGTGTGTTACCACGCGCAGTAATTCAGCGCGTAGGTGGAGAGTTTTTTCTTACAGCGAATCTTTGTTCTTTATGCGTACACGAGTGCGTCTTATAGGGGAAGGAAGAGGAAGCAAAAAAAAAACACATTTGCATCTTCTTAAGTTGTAAACAGTAAAGCCAGAGATTAAAGAAACAAAATTGTATTTGAGGAATGAATAAAGAAATGTAAAATTGGTTATTCTCTGAAACACTTTAGCGTTCGCTTGCGGTCTCATACGTCGCTGTCAGTCATAAATTAGGGGAAAGAGAAGAGCTATCAAAGCAAAGCATGAAATGAAACACTCTTTCTCTTTCTTTCTTTCTCTCTCTCTCTCTCTCTCTCTCTCTTCGAGCGGGAAAAATGTAAAGCCTTTCTCTTTCTATAACCTCATCTTCACCCTTCACCATAGGTACAACAAGCCTTCACCTCTCTTCAACTATCAGTTTCTTCTTCTCTTTCTCTGTCTGGGTCTTTTCCTTTTTTCTCGTTTCCTTTTTAGTCTAATTTCAGCTTGCCAAATTTCTTTGCTTGTTTTCTTTCTTTTTCTTCATCTTCTTTCGAAGATGAGTTTTTGACACTGATTTCTCTCTGGATACGTGCATCTTCTCTCAAGAATTAGCATGGCTGTTGTTTTTGAAGGCTTTTCCATCCGGTAAGTTTGTTCTTTTTTGGGTTTTTTTTTTGTCTCTTTGCTTCTTCTTCTTCTTCTTCTTCTTCTTTGTTCTTGTTGTTGTTTGACTTTGTTGATCTGTTGTTTTGCGTAGCGAATATGCTTCCAAAATGAGAAGCATCGACGTGGTGAAATGCTGGCCGTTCAGTGGAGCTGCTGCTTCTTCTTCTTCTTTAGATGATGATGATAATGGTAACAGTAAGATAAACAAACAAACCATGGAATCTCTTCTCCCTCCGATCACAGTCACCAAATTCCGCTGGTGGTCCGAAGAGCTTGATCGTCTCAAATCAACTGAATTAGCTAACATTCAAAGCAGCAGCAGCAACATGGAAAACAATAAGCTTCAAGAAGCACAACTGAGAAACCAAAGTAACTTGTTGCAAGTATATCTTCATGTGGAGGAGAAATCTGATGAGAGATTAGACATGTTGGAATGTCCAGTTTGTGGGGCATTTGCTGCTTCCACAGTGAATGCGTTGAACGCTCATGTTGATAGCTGCCTTGCTCAAGCATCTAGAGAAGAGAGGCGCCAAATGAGGATGGCAATCAAGGCTACCAAATCAAGAACCCCCAAGAAACGATCCATCGTTGAGATTTTTGCTGCGGCTCCACAGATCCACAAGGTTGAGGATGCTGCTGATGATAACAATTTGCTGGATGAAGATGAAAATGGCAGTTTCAAGAGCGAGTTGAATTGCAAGATTGAGAGGCCAAAGAAGAAAGTCGCAATCGTGAAAAAGTTGATGAAGAAAAAGAGGAAGATGAAGAAGAGTAAGAATAAGAATAAAAAGAAAGATGGGCTCATTGCTAACGAGGTATGCAATTTTTACATCATAAAATATTGCAAATTATGTGCTTTGTTATGATTGTGACTTGTTTGATTTTATACCACTTTTCATTGTTTATACTTTAGAGTTGTTGCAGCAATATTTTTCATTTCATGTGGGCAATAATTCATTATTGCTCATGTCGTCATAAACTGCCACCGATTTGTAGTACTGTGGGCTTGTGATCTTTGGATTGTTTGATAGATTGGATTTTGAGCTAGCGAATTAAAGCACTAGCATATCTATGTTCTTCATGTGCGTTTTCTTTGTGCTTCTTTCTTTTCTTTCTGATTAATAAAATTACCGCTGATAAAGCTGGTTAAAGAGTGTATTCATTTTGAGGACTGAGATCACTGAGCAGTGGCCTTGTAATTGTACTTGTTGTGTGCAATGAGGTTCAGCAGCAGCATAAAGAAAGAAAAAGGTTGAAAGAAAGAGATGGGGTTTTCATGTTTGGGAAGGTTTGAGCAGGTTATGGAGCTTAGGTGAGGTGTGGTGCTCCAGCTGTACAGTACGGGTTGGGCAGAGAGGTCTTTTATAGGGTAGAGGTTTTTTTGTCCTTGGTTTAGCATATCTATCCTAGATTAATGATGCTGTTCTTTTCTTTTATCTACTGTTGCAATAATTTTTTCTAACGAAGATAATCATTTAGATATTGGGGCCGGCCATTCTGATTTTTTATCTAATGGCTAGTGTTTCATCTTATAGTGGATGTGCTTATCATTGAGATTGATAGATTATGGACGCTATGGAAGGACTTGAATAATAATTTCAGGTGAACTGTTTAAGCTGTAAGGTCGGATTTGATGATAATGTGGAAAATTGCGACAAATGATATAGAGATTTGGAAATTGCTGTCATGATCTTTATTGTAATGCTTTTGCATTAAATGACATACATATGGCGTTATCTCAGAGACTAGCTTCTGAAGACAAATGTATTCTAGCAGTCCAGCTCTGGTCAATATTTAGCTTTTGCAATCCATCTTTGCATTTGTTGGAGAGAGGATGAATAGATGGGTGATATCAAACTCTGACACATGCCAAGTTGAAATCTGTTCTTTTGAACGGACCATATATTATGTGGAGAACCGAATTATTGGAGAGTCCTAAATTGCTTTTGCTGTTCCGGGATTATGTCTTAGGATGCTTAACCAGCTGCACAATGAAATTGCAAATTGAAGTGTTCATATTTTATGAGACTCTTGTAGTTTTAGGACCCCATCTTGGTGTAAATGGTGGCGAGGATTCATCAACTGGCATCGATTGTGGTTTATTGATAATATAGGGATGAAAGACATCTTTATTCCCTCATGTATGGACTTTTGTAGATTGTCTTCTGTCCTTTGAGGTGGAATTTGCAAACTATCAGGAAAATGCTTTCTTATATATTGGTTTGAGCATGACCTTAAGCGTTTTCCATTCGGCTTGATGATAATTTGTTGATGGAAAGTAGTGGAAAATTACTATAGAAGATATTGTTGGGATGAAAATATATTGACAGGAAACTTGTTTATTATAGGTTATGATGATGACTTATAATATGAGTAGTCTTTGTTTTATAAGTTACTGTCTGGCTCTTGAAAGTTGAAAGTCATCTGGATAGGAGAGATGCGTTCCAATCAAAGCATCTTTCGATCAGGAGCATGAGAGAATAATGCTTCTTTGATGCTGTTAGCACTTCCCAAATACGTCTGAGAGATTTGTCAAAAAGAAAAAAAAATCATTAAACAGCTGGTGAAATATTTTTGCGTTATGTTGGTGTATCTTCTGCAGTCTTGTTCTTTAAGGTTCGAGAGAAAGGATTCTGTTGAAATATAAGTAATTCAACAAGTAATAAGAATGTGTTATCAAACAGAAAAAGATCCACACTATGTGACTGATACCTGGCAAGTTCGCTTACTACTTCTCTTATTGTGACAATAACATTGTTATCTAATGGTTTGTTTGAGAAATTTTCATCAAAGAGCGCTAAAAATCTGACTGGTGATCTGGAGATAAATTAAGAACTTCCTTTTCTTTTCTTTCAGTATGTCTTTTCTCACCATGCCGGTGATTTATATGTCCATGATATCTCTAGAGATGCTGTTTGAGAAATTAATTATTAGTTCTTTATGAGGATAATGTTTGAAGGGGAAAGTTTTCTGTTGGCAGTGCTAATTCTCTCATTTACCTATACTGTTCAAGGTTTGTTCAATAATAAGTCATTGCATTTGTTAATTAGAACAAGCTTTAGTCTAAGTTATTTCCTCATATGTCCAAATCAATGTGATGATGAATAACAACCACTGATGGTAATGATTGTCCATTTGTGCAAGGGTGCTGTTTGAAAAAACTGGGTGACTCGCTAAGTAGCTTTGACTAGTGTTGTATCCTTATATCTAGACAGGAAACAGGCCCTTTATTCGCTTCCATAACCTCCCAAAAATGGTTACTTCACTGACAATAATGAGAGTAGTTTTTTTTTTGCCTTCTTTTCTTATCAAAGGAAAAAAAGGCCACTCATTTATGTAATACACACTTTAGATAATGGGTTAAGTATCTCAATTTGATGTTGTGCAGCTCAATATTTAGGTTCTTGGTCACAAAATTATCTGATTTCTAGGAACAGCCATATACCTTTACTTCATTTTGTTAGAGGGTAGTGTTTTAATGGATGAATTTTGGTAATGTCCGTCTATGATACCAAGTTCTATTAATTAGAAGGTAATCTTTTAATGAATGTGTTTTGTTACCCTCAATTATTGTACTCACATAGAGAACTAGCTAGAGAGGTTATGCATGCTTTACTACATATTCTTAGAGGCTTGAATCCATATGGACTTGCTAGTTGCCTTTCCAAGACAAAACTGTGAGTCCCCTTCTATATTTGGGCAAGGGAGGAAAAGAATGCTAATGTTAACTAATAGCTCTTTTTTCTTCTACTGGAATCCTTTGTTATTTATTTTTGCTAGCCCAATTCCTTTTTGAATTCATTTCTTTATATACTTTTCTTTACACTAATTTTGTACTATGGTTGTGCCCCTTCTTTTTACCTTTGATAATGTTTCACTAGTCATAAAAGAAATGAATAATTAGGATGGAGGCTGTACCCTAAAATTTGCACAAGGAAGATCAAGTTTGGAAAGAACTAGAGATAGATATGTTGTAGAACCAGGTTTCTGCAGGTGCTATCTTAGACAATATCCGCTTTTTAGTACGGTATAGTTGATGTCCCTTCTGCTACATCACATCAAGCATATAGAGGAATTGGAAAGACTGTAAAAAAGGTATCTGGTTATTCCCAGCTACTGAACATGTCTGACTTAGATTCACTAGATTGAAAAAGCGATATTCTTTACATCTCAAGGACTCATAACCACTGGAACAGTTCAATTCTTGGACCTTTAGGACATTTTGACTTTCTAAAATCTCTTCAACATTTTTTAGATCATTTTCAGATAACTGGTAATTTTAATATCACATACAATTACCCATCGTTTTTGATTTCCCAAATTCTAGATGCTTTAACTAGTACAGCTTTGTTGTATGCAAAAGTGTTCTTTTGGGTCATATGTGAAAGTTTATGCTAGAGCAGTGTGCTTTTCATGTCTCTTTGGTCAAACTCAACAATCTTCGATGCTGAGTGTTTAACAATCCCTAGAAGTTTATCAGTGTATGATCCAGTGAGCTTCCTTATGTAAACTATCTAGCAAATCCACGGGAAGATTCTTTTTGGAATAATGTTCCTTAAATCTTTCCCGGGCAGACATCTTCCTTGTCCAAATTAGCCATATGATCACTTTCCATATCACAGAAAATAATTTTCTGCTATAGTTGTAAAAGTTTATATTTCTTCTTAATGGTAGGCATACCCATTAAAATGTGGAATGGTTTTGCAGCAGACACCTCCAGAAAATATCAGAGTAATTGTTAAATGCAGATGCCATATTTTTCTATAATAAAGGATGTCTTTTGATTATCATGCATGTCTTCAACTGCAATTTGACCAAAGATTCACAATCTAGAAGAAAATGTTGGTGGCATTGTGACAAAAAACGTTAAGCTTTAGGTTGCAGTTGTCAGAGTGAAAGAAAATTTTAAGCAGTTTTTGCTATTCGTTATACTGTCTTAATTATTTATACTTGTTACTCTTTTCATGGCAATTATGCTGTTTTCTGCAGGCAGGCTTGTTTAAATGTTGGATTTCCATAGTGTTATTCATGTCTAGAAGCATCGAGGAACAGTTGTTTCTGCTTTTTGATAGTGACAATTTGCATTAACACATGAATAATTATAATGGTTTCTCTTTTATCATCTGTTTTATTCTTTTTCTTTAGTTAGTCATTTTATTCCCATGTGTGTTAAAATTTCACTGTCTTCTCTCCCCCATGAGCCTACAGAACTCAGACCAGTGGCCTTGAAAATTCCCATGCAAGCCGTGGGGTGTATTTCCTTTATTTGTTATCTGCTTATGCTCTTTCTTTCTCTTTCCTCCTATTAACTAGCTAATCATACTCACTTTTTCACATAATTTGGATCTCTTATAAGCCAACTACTTCCTATTAAATCCTAGCCTTATATATCATTTACATTTCCAAACCATTGACACTGTAAAATTATACCTCTGCATTGTCATAGGACAGTCTAGCTTCAAGGTTTGCAATTTGGCGTTGCATTGACCAACTAAAAAGGAAAATTGAAGAAATAAAGGTTGATAAGCTTCTGGGAGCAGTATGATAAAGGAATGATAACTAAAAGGATGCCTTGAAAAATCCAGATTGCTAGTTAACACTATCAAAAGTGAAGTAAATAAACTAAAAACTTAAGAATTAATTCCAAAATGATAGGAAAAGGACTTGGTATGTGATCTGAATTTAGTAAACTACAAGCTTTTCCATGAACCAGTAAACTCTTAGGGGCTATTCCTCCTGTCAGTAATTTTTGACTTCTTAAGCTGGCTGTAAGGAATATGTGAAAGCCAGCGCCTCCTTGGACAAGAGGATGGTGATGTACATGGTTGGAGTAGGTATAGATAAAATGATTTGAATTAGCATCATGTAGTTGAAAGTCGACCATTAACAACTACCTTCTTGCGTAGATTCCTACACGGAATAGTTATAGGGACTTACTTTGCAAATTAAGTAGAAACAACTAGTAAAACTCACATGTAGAAGAGTTATGGTAAATCCAAATTTTCTAATCTAATTAACTTGAAAAGAATAAGTTTCTGACAGGATTCAAATTCTTTCAAGTTTGTGTGGAAGTATGACATACCATGGAAGTTGGTCAGCTTGTTCAATGGATTTTGTTTATTGTTCATGGTTGAATTGAATATAGTTGAAATGTCTTAAATCTTTTAAAAACTTGAACCATGGTGCTGCTTTTTTTTTGTGTCTCAGGAGAATGGTAGCAAGCTGAAGCTGCAAATTCCAGTCAATTTCAATAGAAAACCAAATAATACATTGTGCAATAGGGGCTCAAATGCTGTTTCTATCCTTAGAAAGAAACCAAGTCTCAAATGCCTGTCTGCAAAGAAGAAAAACAAGGTTGTTCAAGCATCCAAGCCAATTGTAGAGCATGAAAAGCCAATTTCTGCTGTTCGTGGCATTCTCAAGAATCCCCCAAAAATTATTTCTGGGCAAAATGCAGCAATGTGCAATGTGAGGGCCACTTCTCAAGCGAGTACCTGTGGTGTTCAACATTCAGCCAGGCATGTCCGTTTCTCAGGTCAGGATGGCATGCTTGGTCCCCATAAGAAACATGCTACTTCATTTGAGAAAAGCATTTGCCACATTGATTTGGATTCATTTGATCTGTCAGAAAAAGGCTGCTGGATTGAAGGTGATAAAGAATTCCCTGCTAGAGAGATAAATGGAAGTGATGATGAAGGTGTTTCTTTTAGCACAGGAAATGGAATTGGGGTGCAATCTATGATGGAGAAGCAACAGTTGCCTGATATTCACTGCAATGTTGATATACCGAAATTTCTCAGACCACATATCGTTGAACAAGAAAAAGCAAATCATTTTTCAGATAAATCCTTGCCCACAGGTCAAGTTGTAGTAGATTCTGGTAATTTGCATATGTCTAATCAAGGAAATCAAACTGCATTACATAACCCTCTGTATACTGGAGTTCCTAGACTCTTCTCTTCAGTGAAAGAAGTCCAAAATCCTTTTATCAATTCTCAAGTGTGTGGTGGTGCTTCTACAGCTTCAAATTACAGTTCTGTGTTTGTTGATTATTTTGGAGATCACACCCAGGAAGTTGCAGCTATAAGTTCTACGGCAACTGCAAGGGCATCTTTGCAGCCTTCATCATCTGGTTTTGCTTTGAGTAAAAATGTAAATGAAAGTGCTCCATTTACATCACAATTTGCCTCAGAAAATGTTTCAGGCCATGCTTTGTCTCATCAGCCTTTATATCATTTGTCTCCTATTGAATTGATGGGGAGGTTAGGTCCCTTTCCAGAATGGAAACAGAAGGCGGTTGCATTCAGAGAGAAGTACAGGGATGAGGAATTTTTTGGTTTGCCTCTGAATTCACAAGGTGAACTAGTACAGGCAAAGTCAACTGGAAAAGGAGGATTTAACCAGCTAAAGAAATCAACTCCAGCATCAGGCTCTTCCAATAGCATTAGCAATCTTGTCTTGCCAATGAGAATAGATGATCATTCACTTATGAAAGGGAAGCATTTTATCGGAAGTGCACTTCCAAATAATCAGTTAAGTTTGTTTCCTGCACAGTATCACATGAAAGAGAATGCCACTGTACATTCACCAGCTAGATTAGGGGCTACCCAATCGCAAGGCCCTAGAAAAGAAGATGGATATCGTCTAAATTCTGATAGGAGATGCAATCGCTCTGTCTGCTTGATGGATTCAGACCTAAATCTGACGAACATCTCTTTCAGTGGATGTGGGCAATATGACCAGTTTCAGAACCAAAAGGAGAAGGGTATTACTCGTGCAAAGGAAAATGCAGACAAGATGCACCTGAATAGGCCTCCTCCAACAATGCGGTTGATGGGAAAAGATGTTGCAATTTGTCGAAGCAGTGATGAGAGGCAAGGATTTGCAGATGGAAAGGTCTGGACTCATAAAGAAATCATAAGAGAGCACCATCCTCAAGGTACTGTCCTTCAGAATTCCTATGTTGATAGACATTTTACGCAAGACTGGCTTTTGAATCCAGCATCAGGAAAGTTTAAAGAAGCTCCTGATCAAAGATTCGAAATAGAGAGCAATCAGGCCTTTCCCAGCAACGTATTCATGAAGCCCCTTGAGTCTAATTTCCTTCAGCCGGGCCTCAACTGGCAAGCAAATCCGGAATTCCATAATAGCAGCCTTACAATTGCAAGAAATCCTAATCCAAACTCACACCATTTTGCCCATTCACCCACTTCCCATGCTATTTTTGAAAATGGAGCTGACTTCCAGGAGCCTTTTATATCCAGAAACGAAAATTTAAGAGTTAGCTCTCAACTTTCCTCAGCATCTACTTCACACAGAATTTATCAGAATATAAATGGGAGTTCTGTTGAACACCAATACAAGCAGAATCCTCAGAATGCTGTAAAATCATCTTTCAACTTTCCGTTTTTGCACCCAGATCAGGGTGAACATGTCCAACCATCTTGGTTTAGGGGCTCCTCAAAGAGCCTGATCCCATGGTTGTTACAAGCAACGCAGCAAGTGAAGGCACCTTGTACACCTTCTCAACCTTTTCCTGATGATGGTGGTCGACGTCATCCCCATCCTATGGAGACTAGTTTTCTTCCCAACCCTTTGGTTCCTCATTTGCCAATAGTTTCTTATGATCACAACCCAATGATCTCTCACTCACACATGGAAAGTCCAGTTGGGCAACCATATATAGCTCACTCCCCACTCATTCCAGCCCTTCCTGGAATTAAACCATCTTCTTCTGTTAACATGAGCCACAGGAACAGAATCAAGTTCAAAGACAGAATGAAGTTAAAAAGTGCTGGCATTCAAGACCCTGATATTTGCCAGAAGACAAGGAAGAGGCCTAGAGCTAAAGAAGATTGTCCAATGAAGCCCACTAAGATACCTAGTCTAGGAATTCAAGATAAATCAAGAGCTGCAACTCGGTCAACAAGAGAAAATTTCTTTGATGACATTCAATGTAACATGGGGTCACCTGAAATTGACCCTTACAGGGATGAAGCTGGCCTTGTAGGATGGATTCCAAATGAGCCTAGATGCAATGGGTTTGGAACTTCAGCTGGAATTGATTCTTCTAAAATTGACGGTGTGACAAGACCAGGTCCTATTAAACTTACTGCTGGGTTGAAGCACATCCTGAAACCCAGCCAAAATGTGGATCAGGATAACTCAAGGTTGATCCATTCAACTATCCCTTTTGCATCAGTGACTGGTTGTGGTAACATTTTGGAGACTCAGAAGAAATCAACAAAGATTTACAGGTTTTAGGGGTAAGTCTTAACCTCCTGCTGATAATTTTCTGTTTTCAGTTTTTATCAACCAGGCTTTATAAATTCTGCATCTGAATGTAACAGGACTGTCTACTAGCCCAGCAGGATAGAAGACTGCTTGTATTTGACTGCTCTTTGCTTGCAAGTTCCCAGGAGTCATTGAAAGGATGAAATCAGCTTTCATCCATTTGATGCCAGCTCCAACTAGTGAGATTATACAATTGACATAAAGAGCAAAAACCAAAAGAAAATCACCTGTATTTACAATCGAAGGGCCGAGGATCAGTTACTACATCATGTTATAAGCTTCCAAGGTTTTTTTTTTCCCTTTTTTCCGAGGTTTCTGAATCTGGAATTTGTAATCCAATGTTGTAAAAGTGGGTTTATGCTTCGTTAGTGATACCCTAAAAAGTTGTTTCACTGACCCTTTTCTTCCTGAAATTGTCTGTAGTCATATGTGAAGCATATATTATCCAATGTAAGGCTAATCATATATGTCGAAAACTGAATTATATATGTCTAACTGGAAGGGTGATGGTATCTTTATTCTGTCAAGGATCTAACTTTTCTAACATAAACGAAGGGAGGAATGCAGATTGGTTCTGTGGTAGTTGCTGATTTTGGTTTTTGTAAACTATCTCAACCCACTATTTGTCACTTACTTTAGTCTTTGGGCATAACATCTATGTCTGTGTTATAGGGTTGAGGGCAAGTGCATATGCATTTCCTATGCATGTTGCAATATATGGGTGATTTGAAATAATGTCGAAACTCACAGACATGGATACATAACCATTTCAGGAGAAAATTCAAGCCCTGATTTAACATTATAATCTTCAGCTTTAAAAGTTTTGGGGTGCTATACATTATTTAATGATATAGAGTTTTTTTAATTATTGCCATATCTTCATTTAAATTATATGTGCTTACTTAATAATTCTACATTTATTTTTTAAGTTATAATTAAATAGACAAAGAAAACATATAAATTAAACCTGTGAAATTTTTAAATTTCAGAATTTATATGTGAAATAATGATCTATGTAAAAATTTATACTCCATTATCTATTCTTTATACTTTTAAATGCATTTATAAAATAAGTAACATAGATTGTCTTTTTTCTTGTTCCAACACAAATGCTTATATTGCTTTTTACGGTTAGAATTCACATTATTTGTAAAAAAAAAAAAAACTTTTACACTTAAATATTTAACTTAATAGTATATATATGCATGCATTTTCTTGTTAAAAAGTTGATCTTGTTTTTGTTTCTAGCATTGTACTTTGATTATATAATAACATAAAAGAAGATATGGTAGATCTTAAAAGTTAGATTACATAAAATTTTCCTTCCACTTTCTCTTTCCTTTTACTAAAAGAATTGCTGAAAGTGATTCTAAACTCCAAAGGGAGAAGGTCAAAAAGCCTCCCACAACAGTGTATTTATGACCATATCTCAATTCTCAGGAACATTGATTTTTGGAGAGAAGTTCTGACCAATGTACTGCTTTATGTTTCTCTGCTTATATCAGCTCTGTAGCTAACAGCTTCTGAATTCAGATAGCAACCTTTCACAACTCTCTTGGCCCCTTGGTTTGTAACCTCTAGTCTGATAGATTTTTTAGCCGGTGCTACAATCTTTTGGTATATACAAGTAAATTTGATATTAATATTTGTTTTCAAATAAATACCACAATGGTTAAAAATTAAAGATTTGAACCAAAAGATCATAATCTAAATTTTGATATAATTGTAAATAAAAAAGAATTATGTCTCGTTATATATAATTCAAAATTATATGTAAGAAAATCATTAATATTTTATGTAAATCCTATGTATTTATCTGTTTGCTCCCCAAGGAGTCATTAAGAAAGGTGATAAGTTGAGGAGAGCCTTCTTTTAAGGGTGGAGAAAGTAAGAGAAAACTTGCCAAAGTTGAATGCAATGAGGTGTGTCGATCAAAAGTAATGGGACTACCAAAAAGCTTTTTTGAGAAGACTTGTTATCAAAAAATACATGGTAAAGGTGCTTTACAGTGGCAACCCTCAAGTTTCTATAAGGAAAGAATGTCATTTACCAAACATTCATGATGTTGTGGAGCTAGTTGGAAGGGATGGATATAGATGGGTTGTGGGAATGTCTTTTTAGTTGGACAAATGGGTGTCAAACTCTCCTTTGAAAGAAATATTTTCTAGATTGTCCTCATTGCCTGTTGAAAAGAAGACAAAAGTGGCACAAGTGAGAAATGATGAGGGACAATTTAATGGAACTTAAATTTCATAATGGAACTTAAATTTCACAAGGCAACTGTTTGAATGAGAAAAAGATCCCTTGAAAGAGCTGAAACAAATGCAAGAGCAAGTTGATTTGGATAAGGACGATCAATTGGATTGGGAGTTGGATAACAAATGCTTCTTTTCCACGAAGCAAGCCACATCTGCCTTGAGAAGCCAGTCAACCTAGGAGGTCCCAAAGGTTTGGTTTAAATTTATTTGGAAATACATCATATAAATCTCCCCAAATGTTCAATATGGTCGGTTATTTTGGACTACATTCCTGCCAACAGTTTCTTGAAAGAAAGAGGGATAGCCCTTGCAAAATAATAACTACTCCTGCACATGGTGTACTTTGTGTGATGAAGATTGTTGTCACGTTTTAATTTCATGTCATTTTTCATGGATTATATGGAGCTATGTTTTTCAGTGGTGGGGATTACCAAACTCTATTGAAACGTTTATCATGTCTAAGTGAGGATTTAATGAGTAATGATGCTTTGAAAAAAAGATGATTAGTAGTATGTGAGGCTAGGTTTTGGTCAATTTTTTACAATAATCAAATTATGTTGAACAAATGACAATCAAAACTACACTCCATATTTTTTTTGTCTCTTTTGTTGGAGGGGTAAGTTTGATTCTAAGGTGATAATCTCAGGGGTATGTAATTCAATCTTGAGACCGTATGTTAAAATGGAGAATTTAAATTGAAATTCACAAATCATAGAAAATCATTAGGAAGGTTGCTTTCCTTTGTATTTTTAGAGAGGCTAGTTTCTTTGCAAATTCTTTAACCAAGTCTAATGTTGATAGATCTAAAATGTTTTATACTTGATGGTAAGAAGAAATGCAATTTGTTCTTTTTTTTTAAAACTCATTGGTGGTTTTTGGACGATGTCTTTTGCATTGAATATTATGATTATCTCTTGAGACATTAAAACTTGTAAAGTTTAATATTCTAAATAAAATTTTACATTGATTGAAATAAAAAAACTTATATATTCCATACTCATTATGCCTTTAAAAAAAAAAAATTCATACTTAGAATGCACAAATCTTACATATAAATTCACATTTCATCAAATCTTTTAAAGTGAAGATATTCAAATTAAGATATCTAGAATTTGAAAAATTAAACAACAAAAATGATGACTTCGATTTAATGAAATGTTTTAAACATTGCCATTTCTAATTGGAGAAAGATATATGATAACATGATTGTGCCTTTGTGTGTATGATCTTGTTCCATGAAGTCACGATATATTTCAATCTCTTTGGTCTGTCAAGAAAATTTTTATGTGTATAAATGGAATTATGCTTTTGTTCTGAAAGAAACAAAGAATTGGTAGGCTAGGTAGGTGTACCCACCATTTTCTGGGAAATCCAGCATATGTTTATATATATATATATATATATATATATATATATATATAATTATATAATAAGTCCTTTTGAGTTAGAGCAAGTTTTGGAGAGTAGAAAGCTCAACATAAAAAATGTCTCAATCCAACATCGTATTATATTGTACATATGGGTTCAGGGTTTTGCAGAAATGAAGACTGGTTGAAAGTTATTTTCTTCCCCATGAGTGCTATGTATTCAGAATTTCAGATACAAGTTTTTTTCGTTTTTCTGTTTTCATATCTATATAGACACAATTAGTGATAAAAGGAAAAGTGGAGGAGGACTTGGTAATTAAGACTTCAAGGTTTCTTTGCTTCTTTCTCAGCCTGAAAAAGCAGCTCAAAGCAAACAAAAACAAATCAGGGTTGAGCTATATATAAGAAAAGAGAAGGAAAAAGGGGAGAGACAGAGTTATGCATTGTTGGGTTTGTTAATTACCGCTTTGATTATTCGCTCAAACGCTGACCATCCATGCTTGTCAATGTATTCAGCTACATATTTCCTTGCGTCCGAGCTAATCATCTGGAGAATCTTCCTCTGGTCCTCTGTATAATTTGAGACTGAGCTTCCAAATCCACCAAGCCTTATGTATTTTCGAATATATTTTTCATAGATATAAGCTGCCCCATTGAAAATCGGTAGCACCAACCACATGCAAAATAGAAGCTTCATGTATGGCCAAAATGGTAACCTGTTAGAAGAAGAAAAACGAATTAGCTGGGATGAGTTGCCTGTTCTCTCAGATGGGTTAATTAACATATAAAACCTGTGCTTACCATGCCAGGATTTTCCAGCATGAGAGTTCGAAGATGGTTATCAAAGAGTATATTATCCAATAAGTTAGCCACTGCTGGTCATCTACCATGGAAGGAGTTTCTATTGCTCGGATTGAGGCATATCTGCTCATTCATACACACAATATTCAATCGACTGATATCTTTAAATATTCTTTCTTCTCAATTGTAAAAATATTTTTAGTCTCTGAAGATGTTGACAATTAATGCTTTACTTACAATGGATAAAGAAGCATTACTCCAGGCCTGGGTCACACAGAAAAACAAATTTATTAGACCTTTTATAATATATGTGGGCATAAGGAAAGACAAAATGAAGTTAAACTATTTATTTTTTTATTTTGGAAAGGTAGAGATGATTTTATTAATCACTTGCTATACAAAAGAAGCCATAGAAGGCTAGAGCTGGAGATAAGTAGCATTAAAACAGACTATACAAGTTCAACAACACCCTCAGGTTGTAATAAGAACAAAGGACAGCCGTCAAGAACATCATCACGGCACAACCTAAGGAATCATCATCAAGTTATATTATGCAAAGCAAAAATCTGCCATTCGGAGCCAACAGAGCCTTTGTCAAATCCCAAGCCAAGCAAATCAAAGCAGAGAGAAGCTTACAGAAGAAGGAAAGAGAAGTTTAAGTAATTATTCCTTCCATCCTATTTTATTTGTTCTTTTTTATTTTTAAATGCCCCTAAAATTTTGTCCTTTCACTATAAAAAAATTGAATTTTAATCGCACTTTTTAGATGATATATTTTTTGCATAATCAAATTTTAAAAAATACAATTATTTAAACTTTTAATTTCATTTTTTTCACATTTAGTAGTAATATAAAAAAATACAACATTTGTCAGTATATGTAATTTTTATTGCTATATTTTATTCATAATGCATCTAAAAATTTATACAGTGCAATTAGATCTACAAAAATATTTTAAAAACATATAAAAATGTTATTAAAAATATTTTTAGTAGCACATTTAAAAAATGTACTGTTTTAAGTCAAATTTATTGTAGTGTTTCTAAAACATCTAATATTTTTTTTATATATATTGAAATTATATTTCATGACTTTTTTGACATTAAAAGCTATGAAATATCAATTTTACATAAAATTTTAATATATACTATACTAAAATCAAAACATATATTTTAGTTACAAGTTTTGCAGGGATACAAAATTAAGACAAATTTCGGATTTGACTTTTGCAACAATAATTAAAACAAGTTTTGCATGCAGTGATGCCTTAGTTTATATATTTTGGATATTCTCTTTTACTTCCTCCATACTATATTTTCTTAGTCTTTATTTTACTTCCATGAAAGTTAAGAAAAAAAAAACATTTTGCCTTTAGTTATTTTATATAGTAAGCATTTAACTTTTTTTTTTAAAAAAAATGTGTGTTCAATAAATTTGTAATGTCAAAAAATAAAAAAAATGAAAATAAATCGAAATATAGAAAAACGTATTAAGTGTAAAAAAAATAGAAATGATATAATTATGAAACATGAAAAAAAAAAGAGAGAAAAAAATGAGGAGGAGGCATTGCACATATCTTTTGAGAGTAATAAGATAAATTGTAGATATATATGAAAGACACAAATAATATCCCTTCAAATAAAATAGCACCACATGATGTAGAAATAATGGACAAACTAGGATATGTGGAAATATTATATTGAGTAATAAGATATAGTTTCAGAGACATGATGCCAGCCAGAAAATATATGGTCTCAGTAGACAAGATCTACAAACAGAGATGATATTTTCCAACATATATTAAATATATAAAGTGAACAGTAATTAAGTACCCGACTATTGCATCTAGACGTTTGGCAATTACTGTAACAACACCCATATGATCAAAAAGCTGTAGCTCTTGTCTCTGTGATGAATAAAAGCTGATGAAAAATTTTGAGTGAGATAAGGATCGATGATAGAATGTGAAGAATGGAAATTATGGCAGCGATTTAAAGCTTTGTGGGGCTGATGATGTACCAAGTAAAGAATATGTGTTGGATGTGCCAAAAGTCTTCTTTTCTCTGCTAACAAGAAAAGGATTGAAACAGGGAAAAAAAAAAAGATAGGAGGGGGAATGGCATTGGTATATATGCCTTACCCTCTCTTTCTCCCCATAACCTTTCCCCTTTTTCTTAAAGTTATTATTGTTGTTTTAGTTACAACTTTTGCAGGGATACAAATTAAGACAAATTTTCGCAGAGAAGCTTTTCTTGGAATCCTAAACTCACAAAGTTAACCATAAGCTGGCCATCATGCAAAATATCCTCCCTCTGCCTCTCAGTATATAATGGCTGTACTCTCTGAATGCTGCATAAAGTTACAACAATACCACCAAAAACTGGGAATGGCAAACACTTTTGGACATGCATGGTTTATGATGGTTATGTTATGGCAATACATTCATATACATTGCATGGACTCTAAGCTTTGGAATACTCTATCTGACATCATGCTTAAGTCATACATATATATACATATATAGTCGGTGATTTTTCCTCCAACTTTTTACCCATCAATCTTTCACGTCGAGGTGGAGTTGCTGGTGAGAGTTAGACCACCCATTGTGTTTGCATATTGGGGGCACTAAGTCGCTAACTAGTACTAAAGTGCGGTTCCTATTTTGGCCGCTCCATACTGCCTTGGTTTTAGTACAGAAACTTAATAAAAAGATTTCTATCTACTATAAACTTTTCTGAATGCCTTTCCATTTTTTGTCTTATAGAGTACTGATTGATTGAGATACCCTGTATTTTACTTGTCAGTTACAGCATTTTTAAGAGATACTTTTATGGAACCATATCTGGGTTTATTATAGGAGTAAAAACTGTCACTGTATGCAAACTTATACCAAGAAATGGAGCAAGAAGTGATACCTCTTCAAGTTCAAGAAGAAAGTGATGAGGACGTCAGAGGAATTGCAACGATATAACTTCAAGACCACTGTTAGTAATAAATTCACGTCTTTTTTTTTAAAAAAAAATTCCAACAGTTCTTAACCTTCCTTCTCTCTGGGTGGAAAAAGGATGAAGTTGGAGATAAGAAAAAAGAGGCTAATTCTGGACAGGAGATTTATTAGTAGAAGCATTTAAGCCCAGTCACGAAGGTTAAGAACAAGGTGATTTCATGTTAAAAACTTAGAGGATGTCAGACTCTAAGAAATCAAATGTTTATAGATGAAGAAGAGCTTTTAAGGCACTGAAAGCCTAGTTTGCTTCTACAGCCTTTAGCCCAACCCTCGGTTCTGAGCTTTCTTCGCAGCCTGTCTTGTACCAGTTTTCTGGCCTTTTTCCTCTCTCCTCTCTTCCCTTCAAACCCCACTTTCGCCTTGTCAGGTATTGGAAAATGGAATGGCGAATCCATCATGATTCTAAAACGTTTGTACTTACTAACACTGATTTGTCTGTGTTTTGATGCTTTGTTTCGGTCTTAAGAACTCTCTATACTAATTTGAAGAAAATTAAACAACTTCCTTTCTCTGGCAAAACATATGGCACGAAGAAGAATTAATACCAATCTGCATGTGAAGATGTACAAGAAGAAGGAGAAGCAATCAGAAAATGAAAAAGGAAAAGGTTAAACAAAGGGGGGCCAAGACCCATGTGAGGAAGGTAGGTCGGTAGGGTACAAAGATGACTTTAAAACTATATTTTTTGTGTGAGGAGTGGTCCAAAAAGGAAGAGTATTCTTCCTTAATTACTCCAAAAGACTTTGATTACTGTATGTACTTTGCGCACATGATGCATCACCGGCATGGGGTTCTGTTTTGTCGTGAATCCTAATTAATGACATAAGCACCTTATTAGACGCTATGCAGCCATTCATTGTTTCAAAAGCGTACGGACTAACCTTTTTCCCCTCGTTTTATGTGTATGCATCACTCCTCAGCGCTTTCCCCCTCCTCCCCTCTGACAAAACGAAACCAAAAGTCAAAAATAACCGAGGGAACAAAAGCAACCTTTTCCTTTAACTTTTAAATATTATAACGTATAATTAACCTAAACTTAATTTGTGATTCCCGCCGCTTCCTCCGTTTGCTCGTTCTCATCACTATAAATGGTGCAAGTCGCGGGCCTATCATGTCCGTCTACCGAGTAAGAAAATTAAGTGTTAAGCCACATATATGATTGTGCTTGTTATTTATTTCTAATAATTATTTTATGAAATGATTATATAAATTGGTAATTGCTGAAAAGATAATATTATAACATTTAATATATATGAATTTTTTTTTAGAATTTTTTTAAACTTTAATCATTTTTTTTTGAGAAAGTTAAAACTTACTTGAATTACTTTCAAATAAAGCTCTGGTGTAACAAAATCATTTTATTATTTAATTTATCTGTCTTTAACTTATTAGTCAAAATCAATTACATATGATAAACTTATAGTTATATAAAAAATTTGTTAATTTTAATCAAAAGATAAATATTATATTCATATTTTAATTTGTAACATTTGACATGCAATTTAGTTCATATGCAGATTGAAAAATAAAAATTAATATGTACGTGTGTATATATATATGTATATATATAAATATAGATATATAAATCCATATACAAGAAGCTAAATTAGATGTGGCTATAGATGACAATGGATTCTAAGATACAAAATAGTAATTTTAGGATATCTGTTATTCAAACTTGATTATAGATAATTAATTTTTTAACTTTTGTATTATTATTTATTGAAGGTATTACTTATAAATAATAAATTATTTATTAAAATTTGTAAATCATATCGAAATGTGAAGTCTTCTTTGAACTTATTCACTTTAATTTTGATTAATAAAATACATAAAATTAATTAAAATTTATTTTTTATTATTGAATTCGGGTCGTCACTGCTTATATAACTGAACAAACGTATTCAAGTTTTGCTTTGATTTTAATAAGGTGTCGCTGGTTGAATGAGGGTAAGTTATGAATATTATATTTTATATTCAAATTTAAATTTGAGTTCCTCAAAATTAACGTGTCCTTTACCCATTGCTATTAAATGTTTCAAGCTTGGGTTGGGCCTCATTCATGTTTAAAGAGTTAGCCCAAACTCGCCAATAGGTGATATACTTTGGATTTTTTGGTTATTAAAATAAATAAAAAATATTTGCAGTCACTAATCCCATCCCTAAATCTATTTCATACACCTCTAAACTCAAATTGAGTTGAGGCTCGAATACACTTAAAAAATCGTAGCCAAAGATCAATTTGAATAATACTCGTAAGAGTTATAATTACATAATATTATAAATTTTACTAACTTTCATGTCTTTATTTTATTATATATATTATGAATTCTAGGTAAAAAAGAATAGGCCTCAAAAACTTAAAAAAATTGCGTTGTAATTATCCTAAGCATCTTGAACCATCGGATAAATAGAACAGAATGTTGGCCGTTGGATCTAAGGTGCTATAAAAGCCCTGTTTCACAAAGCCATCTCATCTCTTCACGCCGGCGAAACTCTCTTTTTCTCTCTCTCTCTCTCTCCCTCACACTCCGATCCCTCGTTACCCTGGACAACCCATTTCTCGACCCTATTCCGTTTTAATTTAACCCGACCCGGAAAGGCATAAAATATAAAACCAGCTCCGTCGTAAAGGTATCAACCCCCTTTTCCCTTTACTCTAATTTCCCCCCATATATATTATTTTGAATTTCTGTTTGCGATTAAAGAAATCTGTTTGTTTTGTGATTTTATTTTCTTTAATTATTTTACTTTTTTTTAATAATCCATGCTATGAAGAGTAATTTAGCGGGGGTTTTCTTTTTTCCGCATCATCCTTTACATTTGAAATGGAATTGGGCAGTAGTTCATGCCTTCTTGTTAAAAATTAAAAAAGAAATCAATTAATTTGGCTCGCTTTGCTTTGTTGCTTTTGATATATATAAAGAAAACTAAGTAGCAAAAGCAACGAATCAAATGGTACATTAATTACATTGATTTATGGAATGTTTCTATGGTGCTATATTTTCCTATTGTTCCATCACACTACGGGTTGTGTTGAAATTCATCTCATTGGGGATACGATTGGTTTGTTATGTTCTATGTTTAAGGATGTCGAAGTTTTGATTGTTTGGACGTATGTGTTGTCAAATAATTTTGCAAATAAGCAAATGCCATGGAATAGCTTTTCAATCAAGCCTATCATAGACAAGTAAGCAGCCAAAACAGCTTAGTTAAGTTAAGTCTTGTATACTTCCGCTTCAAGGCAACAGTGGTTTTTTGTTGTTCACTGCCCCTTACAGAATTTACTTTGGGTTTTGCTCATATTTTCTTGGGCCAAATCACTATATTGAGTTGCTGGTGGTTTTATGCATGTTCAAACCATTTTATATGGATTTC